TTTTTTTTATTGGTCTTTTGAAGTATTCTAATTTGTTGAGATAGTGAATTGGTGGGTTTTTGTTAAATGTGAGCCAAAATCATCACAATTAAAAGAACCAAAGACTTAAACTACTTCAGTCTGTGTGCATTGAATTTATTTAATACACGAGTTTCACAATTTGAGTTGAATTACTGAAATAAATGAACTTTTTCACGACATTCTAATTTATTGAGATGCACCTGTATAACGTCACCTCTAAATCTATAATCTATAATAACACTTTCTCCAGTGAAATAAATTCATCCCCTGTTGTCCTTTTACACAAAAATCCACCAACATATTTGTTTAGTACTCTTTTGTACTGTTTTTACTTGTAAACGGTACTTGATCAGTACATATTTCTCTCCTGATTCAGATGAGAAGACTTTTTCACTGGAGAAAGCAATATTATGGATAGAGGACTCGTATTTTAACCCGGAAACAACGATTTGAAGTTAAAAAAGTCTTGATGGAATTTTTACAAACACGCAGCTTTTCACTTCACAAGATGTTAATTGATGGACTGGAGTCATATGAATTATGGCACTGCCTCCCTTGACCAGAGCCAATTGATTTTGCCAGAGCTATGAGTAAAAAATATTTTCACATTTTCTCATTTTATTTGTTTTATTCTATTATTTTACTGTGTAGAATGAGTAAGTTAGGGCTAAATCATTTTTAATTAATGTTTTTAAAAATAAGCTCTATTCTCTCGTGACTCTTGAATCTCAAAGTATCACGTGAGTAGACTCTCTTCTCGTTCGATTCTTGCTTTTTTCAGCAGAGATATGCTAAATAAACAAAATGGATATTCATCGTTTTTTTTATTTTTATATATAAACCCACAACTAAAGATTGCAGAAAATGGTATATATGGTATGCAAAAAAAAAAATCAGAGATCGTGGTCTGCCGGTATGTGCCCCCCAGGCAAAAATGTGAAACTCCGCCTATAGCTGTCTGGACTCTCATTCTGACGGCACCCATTCACTGCAGAGGATCCATTGGTGAGCAAGTGATGTAATGATAAATTTCTCTAAATCGGTTCACATGAAGAAACAAAATCTACATCACAAATGGCCTGAGGGTGAGTACATTTTCAGCAAATTTTCATTTTTGGGGTGAATGATTCCTTTAAAGTGGTAGAGAAAATTCTCAAAGTTTTTCTTTATGTCCCTGGAGTATCAAACAGTTACCCACAGTCAAAATAGGATGTCCTTTGGTTAGAAGTTTGTCATGTGCTCTACATATCCTGTCTTCTGTGTGGTACTTACACAGGTTAGAATAATACAATCCAACACTTCTGTATCATGGTTTACGGTTTCCTATAAAATGCAGAGCACCAATCACAGCATAGCACAGCACGCTGCGGCTGACCTGGATGCCCGGTGGAATTCACCTGTACAAAGAAAAGACTGCCAAAATTTTTCTGTTTCTCAGTCCTTTCCAGCACGAGGAGGATCTTCACAGGCCTCGGAGGTTTCACAGTAGTCATCAGAAGGACTGTGCTGAAGTGCACACTCTGACAACCCCAGACAAAGAGCCAGCATGGAGCTGGCGGCATTCACTACATCACTGTCATCAGCTGAGAGGAAACAGAAAACACAAATGAAATAAGCTTCATACTTCACTTCTGAAACTCTTATAATGTAACATAAAATGACAAGAACAAAGCTTCCATAGTAAAGACCCTTGTTTTATCATCAATCCTTAGTCCTTCAATGTCATGACCAAATGCACTGATAAGATCCAGTAAGATCTAACTCAAGCAAATCAAGCATTTCGTAACTAACCAATGACGTGCTAATATGCTAACACTTTACCATTGCTAGAGAGTTCTCTCAGTTTGGGTTGGCGGTTGAATTGAGCATCTCTCTGTGGCACAGGGGTTTTGCACTGCCTCTTATGGGTGAACCAGTGCAGCCTCTGACACGTCTTCCCACAGTAGACCACCTGCAAAGAGATGTGAGCATTATGGGAAAACAGTGTTTCAGCAACATGAGAAACTCCAACATAATGAGAAGAGAGCTTACTTAAGAATACAAAACAATAATCCTTGTATAATGTAACTCAGCAGTGCACTTTAAATTCACTTTTGAAGCTATAGATATCTTTTAATTGTAATTTTGTTGCATTTCTGACATCAAAAGAAAAATTGGATTAGGTTGGTATAGCCAAATGGTCAATGATCTGGGCTTCTTAATTAAAAGGCTGTAGGTTCAGGATGTGGAAAGTTATATGCCTGAAGAGAAACCACATGCTAAATAGCAAATTCAGATCATTAGTATACTTTGCAGATTGTCATTATGTGTGATTAACTGTAAAATAAATCATATTAACAACATTTGTAAGTTTGGCTACAAAATGATCAAAAACGTCAATATTAATTGAATAAATGTTGATGGCAAGTCATGATTACTTAAGGAAAGAGGAAGCACATACCATTTTACAGAAGGAGCACTTCTTGTCAGCACCCCTCTCTCCACATGTAGCACAGTACTCCGTGTCCATAAGCACCATCTGGCCCGTCAATGCCTGGGTCAGAACCGAGAAGGCTGTGGGGACGTTCCCCTGGAAACAAGAGTGAGGTTGTGAAACAAAATGTTGACACATTTTTATAATTTGCCATCAGTCAGCAAGTTCTGAACATCTTCACTACCATTCAAAAGTTTGGTTTAGTGTTTTATTTACATGGACAAAAATTAGTAAAACAAAATAATATTGTGAAGTATTATTACAGTTTAAAATAACTGTTTTTGATTTGAATATTTTGTCAAATGTAATTTATTTCTGTGATGCAAAGCTAAAAACTGCTTTTCAGCATCATTACTCCAGTCTTCAGTGTCACATGATCCTTCAGAAATCATTCTAAGATGCTGATTTGCTGCTCAAGAAACATCTTTTATTCTTAAAAATAGCTTAATATTTTTGTAGAAACCGTGATACATTTTTCTTTGATGAATAGAAAGTCCAACAGAATAGAATGTCTTTACTGTCACATTTGATCAATTTATGCATCCTTGCTGATAAAAAATATATTAATTAAATATTAAAATATTCTATATGATGATATATTATTATTTTATATTATATTATTTACAATATTATAAATCTTTTTATTATTACTATTATTTAATAAGTGATTCCACATTATATGACCCCTTAAACTTAAAAAGGTGTCCATTTTTATATGTTCGAAAAGTGTACTGACAATTTCCACGGGTGCTATAATTCGGACCAACTGTTGCAGCAGGTTTGCCTCACAATAGGGAAACTTCTGGATACAATCACGGATGAATTTCTCCTGGTATTGAGGGAAGCCATCACCATCTCTTCCTTTCAGAAGGCTTGGGCAAAATAAAAATATATGTTTTTGTGACTCCATTTGCAAGACTCTCTAAGATGAAAGGACCGTAAAGATGAAGCCACCTCTTCAAAAGGGCGTCCAGGTTGTCATCACGTTCCTTCAGAAAGGCCAGACACTTCTGCAGCACGCAGCTGATGTAGTGCATCTTCATGGCCAGAACCTCATTCATGTCCTGCTGTTTCACACACTGCTCGCAGAGCAGATCCATCACACGGTAGCACTTCTTCAGCGCCACCACATCCACCAATAAGGGGTCCTCCTTCACCAGCATCACCATCTGAAAAAGCATGATGGAAAAATGGGCCTCAAAATATGAGAAGTGAATATAGCAGAGACACTAGCCTTACTTACAATGCAAGTTTCATGGAGGAAACATGCTCTCACGCTACATTATTCTGTTAACTGATCCCTGCTGAGTGTGGGATTGAGACACCTTACTCATCAGAAATCACTGGATGGGAGTCAGCTGAGATAGCTTACACAGATGCCATCTGAGATCTGCCACAAAGCACACACTCAAGTCTATACTAGAGCAACTGTGTATTAAATTACTAACACAAACCTTTGATTTGACACTCAGATGCCTGGATCTTGAAAATACAATTTCTGATTATTAGAAAAAGTCCTAATATTACCTATTTTGATGATGCTGAATTCAAACATATCAATAAAAATCACTCCACATACAGTTTTCACAAAAAATATTTTTCAAATTATATACAGTAGGTATCAGCTTTACTGCACTTATCAGAATGCAGAACAAAAGCAGTCAAATGTCAAAGATATACTCTGTCAAAGAACTTTACATAATTTTATTTTTTAAAAATCACAAAACTAATTTTCTGTTGCTTTTTGGATATAGCAAAATCCACAGATGAAGTAGAAAACATTTGGGTCTTGCTTGCATTTTCTTCTGTCACTGGCCATAATTCTAACTTTGAAATCAGGAATAGGCATACAATAATCATACAGAAATGTAATATATGACATATATTTCCCTATATAAATAGTTTAGCTATTAGGCAATATATCATTTTCACATAATACATTCTCTGGGTATATGAAGATTTAAGTTTATAACACAAATAAAATCACCATAGTAAAATCTGCATATGTTAATAATACCCATATGATTATTTTTATTATTTATGATGTATTATTATGTTTAATTATTATTATGCATTATGTTTTTACTTCACATGACAATATATTTCATATGGAAATTTAATATATGTACATAAGTTACATTTGCGTATAGGTAATGTCTTCAGAATCATTCATACATGTGACAATCTGTTGACAATTAAACCGATAATAGTAATCTGGCTCAGAGAAAGATAGAAATAATGCCAATTAAGGGATAATACAACTTCTTCACCTTACAGAAGGCACTATTTTTGGAATCAGTCCCCCAAAATCAGTAACAAACAAGTACTGGATTTCATTCAGCAAATATGATGCTGGGCGGTGTTATTTATGCATTTCATTGCAATGTCACATGCAAGTGTCATTCCATTTTTCATATATTATGCAATGAAGGTTGTTTATCAGAGCTGTAGGTATAACAGATATACAGAATTCCAAGCCTGTGTTGAAATGCAGGCCATGTTGTTGCTCTGTAATATCACGAGGATATATTTAGATGGAATAAAAGCAGGAGGGGTGTTCCTCCAGTCATGTGACCTTGTTTGGTATTCTTATGGGTCAGTGTTATAAAACCATAGGTTGCTGTGTTTCACTAACATTGTTTGGTTTGTGTGAGCATGGTGCTTTACTGCCGCTTGAAATCTGAGTTATATAAACACACTTGGCAGTTCTTACCTTGACAGGATTGAGGTTAGTAGTCATGATGATTTTGTGTAGGGGTCCTGCTAGTTTGGGGGGTAGTTTAGGTTCTCCCTCTGAGCCCTCGGGTCTTGTGTAATATTCCAGCCTCGCACGAGAAAAGAAATTGTTGATCACTGTCACACAGTCATGCTGACCTGCACAGGGCAGAAAGAGAAAGAGGTTAGTTATTAATTAGTAAGTAGTAAGTGTGCATATATATATGAATCACTCACCCACAAAAGCAGCCATCTGAGCAGCAGTTCGTCCTACGGAGTTGACCAGATCTGTCTCTGCTCCAGCATCTAATATCATCTCTGTAATTTCAGCATTACCTGTGGGATTAAAAGTGACAGTAAAGACCTTTCTAATATTAACATTACAAAATATTTATATTTTCAAATAAATGCTGTTCTTTTGAACTTCCTGTTCATCAAAGAATCCTGAAAAAATTTATCGGTTTCCACAAAATTGTTAAGCAGAACAACCATTTTCAGCATTGATTATGATGGGATTTAGGCAATAATGACATTAAACTTTCTTCATGTAAACACAATACTTCAATTAAATTGATGTGATTAAGCGCATAATCATAGAAACCATAATCGTCATAAAATATGTGAATAAACAGGCATGTAAACATCTTACTGTGATTATTTCCTTACTCTGATTGGAAATAATCACATTATTGGTGCACATGTAAATGTAGTCATTGATGATAATAAGAAATGTTTCTTGAGCAGCAAATCAGCATATTAGAAGGATTTCTGAAGGATCATATGACACTGACGACTGGAGTAATGATGCAGAAAATTCAGCTTTGCATCACAGGAATAAATTACATTTTAAAATATATTCAAATAGAAAAAACTTTAAATTGTAATAATATTTCACAATATTACTGTATTTTTGAAAAGGCATCACGTCAGTGAAGCTTTTGTACCTTTAAACGTTAGATGAAATGAAACTTGGTAGCATTACTATTGACATGAGTTTACCTGAGAGGCCAGCGAACATGAGAGCAGTATAACCATACTCATGCTCATTACAGTTGACATCAGCTCCGTGCTGCAGCAACAGTCTGCACATGTCTGCTTTGCCCTTATAGGCCGCATGCATGAGAGGGGTCATGCCATACTGAAACGACATGAAATGGCTTTCACCAATCTTTTCATCTGCATGACTCAAAAGCAAATGACATTTAGCCTTGTTCAATCCTCTCACAAATTGTGAAAATCCAAGAAATGTGTCTGCAGTATGGAGATTCTGACAAAACACTGGCACTTGCTGAGAGTGACATGAGCTGGGTGAGTCATAATCTTTGTTGCTCCTTGGATGAAGTCGAAAAACTGCGTTGGTGGCACAGCGAACAAGCTGCACATCTGATTTTGACAGGTGGGATACACTTATCACCTGCTGTTTCTAATCATTCTGGCCCCAAAAGGACCTCAAGTAGTCTGTAGGTTACATCTAGTGGCATGTCTCCATTATCACACCTCTTTAAGTACCATATCCGCCACTCTAGAGTCTCCGCCATATGCCGGAATAACAATGCGAAACATATGCCATCACCTCACCAGCCCACCAGCACTTGTTTACATAAGGGCTGATCGTCAAACAAAAAAAAAAACTAAATAATACCACTATTTACAGTGTAAGGCCTGTGTCTATGTAGTCAGGCTGCAGTAAAATAGCATAAACATTAATAAAAGTAACAATAAGTATGGGTTGTGTTTGGCCAGCCGCCCTATGTCTGGTTTTATGTTTTGTTGTGTTCCAGCTTGGTGAACCCCAATGAGCCATAACTGGTGCTTAAATGGCCTGTAAATTACTATCCATATTTATCAACTTTATGTTCTTACCTCATCCAGACAGTTAACACGCACATTTGGATTACTGAGCAGCTGGGTGGCCTCTTGCACATCACCTTTTGAGAAAACACAGTCTAGAGTTTACAAACTAAACATTAGGGATCATGGACAACTCATGATGATGAAGTATTATTACAGTTTAAAATAACTGTTTTTGATTTGAATATTTTGTCAAATGTAATTTATTTCTGTGATGCAAAGCTAAAAACTGCTTTTCAGCATCATTACTCCAGTCTTCAGTGTCACATGATCCTTCAGAAATCATTCTAAGATGCTGATTTGCTGCTCAAGAAACATCTTTTATTCTTAAAAATAGCTTAATATTTTTGTAGAAACCGTGATACATTTTTCTTTGATGAATAGAAAGTCCAACAGAATAGAATGTCTTTACTGTCACATTTGATCAATTTATGCATCCTTGCTGATAAAAAATATATTAATTAAATATTAAAATATTCTATATGATGATATATTATTATTTTATATTATATTATTTACAATATTATAAATCTTTTTATTATTACTATTATTTAATAAGTGATTCCACATTATATGACCCCTTAAACTTAAAAAGGTGTCCATTTTTATATGTTCGAAAAGTGTACTGACAATTTCCACGGGTGCTATAATTCGGACCAACTGTTGCAGCAGGTTTGCCTCACAATAGGGAAACTTCTGGATACAATCACGGATGAATTTCTCCTGGTATTGAGGGAAGCCATCACCATCTCTTCCTTTCAGAAGGCTTGGGCAAAATAAAAATATATGTTTTTGTGACTCCATTTGCAAGACTCTCTAAGATGAAAGGACCGTAAAGATGAAGCCACCTCTTCAAAAGGGCATCCAGGTTGTCATCACGTTCCTTCAGAAAGGCCAGACACTTCTGCAGCACGCAGCTGATGTAGTGCATCTTCATGGCCAGAACCTCATTCATGTCCTGCTGTTTCACACACTGCTCGCAGAGCAGATCCATCACACGGTAGCACTTCTTCAGCGCCACCACATCCACCAATAAGGGGTCCTCCTTCACCAGCATCACCATCTGAAAAAGCATGATGGAAAAATGGGCCTCAAAATATGAGAAGTGAATATAGCAGAGACACTAGCCTTACTTACAATGCAAGTTTCATGGAGGAAACATGCTCTCACGCTACATTATTCTGTTAACTGATCCCTGCTGAGTGTGGGATTGAGACACCTTACTCATCAGAAATCACTGGATGGGAGTCAGCTGAGATAGCTTACACAGATGCCATCTGAGATCTGCCACAAAGCACACACTCAAGTCTATACTAGAGCAACTGTGTATTAAATTACTAACACAAACCTTTGATTTGACACTCAGATGCCTGGATCTTGAAAATACAATTTCTGATTATTAGAAAAAGGCCTAATATTACCTATTTTGATGATGCTGAATTCAAACATATCAATAAAAATCACTCCACATACAGTTTTCACAAAAAATATTTTTCAAATTATATACAGTAGGTATCAGCTTTACTGCACTTATCAGAATGCAGAACAAAAGCAGTCAAATGTCAAAGATATACTCTGTCAAAGAACTTTACATAATTTTATTTTTTAAAAATCACAAAACTAATTTTCTGTTGCTTTTTGGATATAGCAAAATCCACAGATGAAGTAGAAAACATTTGGGTCTTGCTTGCATTTTCTTCTGTCACTGGCCATAATTCTAACTTTGAAATCAGGAATAGGCATACAATAATCATACAGAAATGTAATATATGACATATATTTCCCTATATAAATAGTTTAGCTATTAGGCAATATATCATTTTCACATAATACATTCTCTGGGTATATGAAGATTTAAGTTTATAACACAAATAAAATCACCATAGTAAAATCTGCATATGTTAATAATACCCATATGATTATTTTTATTATTTATGATGTATTATTATGTTTAATTATTATTATGCATTATGTTTTTACTTCACATGACAATATATTTCATATGGAAATTTAATATATGTACATAAGTTACATTTGCGTATAGGTAATGTCTTCAGAATCATTCATACATGTGACAATCTGTTGACAATTAAACCGATAATAGTAATCTGGCTCAGAGAAAGATAGAAATAATGCCAATTAAGGGATAATACAACTTCTTCACCTTACAGAAGGCACTATTTTTGGAATCAGTCCCCCAAAATCAGTAACAAACAAGTACTGGATTTCATTCAGCAAATATGATGCTGGGCGGTGTTATTTATGCATTTCATTGCAATGTCACATGCAAGTGTCATTCCATTTTTCATATATTATGCAATGAAGGTTGTTTATCAGAGCTGTAGGTATAACAGATATACAGAATTCCAAGCCTGTGTTGAAATGCAGGCCATGTTGTTGCTCTGTAATATCACGAGGATATATTTAGATGGAATAAAAGCAGGAGGGGTGTTCCTCCAGTCATGTGACCTTGTTTGGTATTCTTATGGGTCAGTGTTATAAAACCATAGGTTGCTGTGTTTCACTAACATTGTTTGGTTTGTGTGAGCATGGTGCTTTACTGCCGCTTGAAATCTGAGTTATATAAACACACTTGGCAGTTCTTACCTTGACAGGATTGAGGTTAGTAGTCATGATGATTTTGTGTAGGGGTCCTGCTAGTTTGGGGGGTAGTTTAGGTTCTCCCTCTGAGCCCTCGGGTCTTGTGTAATATTCCAGCCTCGCACGAGAAAAGAAATTGTTGATCACTGTCACACAGTCATGCTGACCTGCACAGGGCAGAAAGAGAAAGAGGTTAGTTATTAATTAGTAAGTAGTAAGTGTGCATATATATATGAATCACTCACCCACAAAAGCAGCCATCTGAGCAGCAGTTCGTCCTACGGAGTTGACCAGATCTGTCTCTGCTCCAGCATCTAATATCATCTCTGTAATTTCAGCATTACCTGTGGGATTAAAAGTGACAGTAAAGACCTTTCTAATATTAACATTACAAAATATTTATATTTTCAAATAAATGCTGTTCTTTTGAACTTCCTGTTCATCAAAGAATCCTGAAAAAATGTATCGGTTTCCACAAAATTGTTAAGCAGAACAACCATTTTCAGCATTGATTATGATGGGATTTAGGCAATAATGACATTAAACTTTCTTCATGTAAACACAATACTTCAATTAAATTGATGTGATTAAGCGCATAATCATAGAAACCATAATCGTCATAAAATATGTGAATAAACAGGCATGTAAACATCTTACTGTGATTATTTCCTTACTCTGATTGGAAATAATCACATTATTGGTGCACATGTAAATGTAGTCATTGATGATAATAAGAAATGTTTCTTGAGCAGCAAATCAGCATATTAGAAGGATTTCTGAAGGATCATATGACACTGACGACTGGAGTAATGATGCAGAAAATTCAGCTTGGATCACAGGAATAAATTACATTTTAAAATATATTCAAATAGAAAAAACTTTAAATTGTAATAATATTTCACAATATTACTGTATTTTTGAAAAGGCATCACGTCAGTGAAGCTTTTGTACCTTTAAACGTTAGATGAAATGAAACTTGGTAGCATTACTATTGACATGAGTTTACCTGAGAGGCCAGCGAACATGAGAGCAGTATAACCATACTCATGCTCATTACAGTTGACATCAGCTCCGTGCTGCAGCAACAGTCTGCACATGTCTGCTTTGCCCTTATAGGCCGCATGCATGAGAGGGGTCATGCCATACTGAAACGACATGAAATGGCTTTCACCAATCTTTTCATCTGCATGACTCAAAAGCAAATGACATTTAGCCTTGTTCAATCCTCTCACAAATTGTGAAAATCCAAGAAATGTGTCTGCAGTATGGAGATTCTGACAAAACACTGGCACTTGCTGAGAGTGACATGAGCTGGGTGAGTCATAATCTTTGTTGCTCCTTGGATGAAGTCGAAAAACTGCGTTGGTGGCACAGCGAACAAGCAGCACATCTGATTTTGACAGGTAGGATACACTTATTAACTGCTGTTTCCAATCATTCTGGCCCCAAAAGGACCTCAAGTAGTCTGTAGGTTACATCTAGTGGCATGTCTCCATTATCACACCTCTTTAAGTACCATATCCGCCACTCTAGAGTCTCCGCCATATGCCGGAATAACAATGCGAAACATATGCCATCACCTCACCAGCCCACCAGCACTTGTTTACATAAGGGCTGATCGTCAAACAAAAAAAAAAACTAAATAATACCACTATTTACAGTGTAAGGCCTGTGTCTATGTAGTCAGGCTGCAGTAAAATAGCATAAACATTAATAAAAGTAACAATAAGTATGGGTTGTGTTTGGCCAGCCGCCCTATGTCTGGTTTTATGTTTTGTTGTGTTCCAGCTTGGTGAACCCCAATGAGCCATAACTGGTGCTTAAATGGCCTGTAAATTACTATCCATATTTATCAACTTTATGTTCTTACCTCATCCAGACAGTTAACACGCACATTTGGATTGCCGAAGAGCTGGGTGGCCTCTTGCACATCACCTTTTGAGAAAACACAGTCTAGAGTTTACAAACTAAACATTAGGGATCATGGACAACTCATGATGAGCCACCATTTTATTGGATGGTCTACATACCCAACTGCACTTTGTGTAAAGACACTTAAATTATACTGAAGGTATTTTCAAGACATCTACCCTTTTCAAATTATGCAAGGTTTCAGTAAAATACAGTTCTGAGACAAACAAAGATGAACTAAATTGGTTAGTTTATAGATGTGAATTACGTAAACAAATCTGACATCTAATATCAAAGTCTGTATAAAGTGAAATGGGCACTGGATATTTTTTTATGTTTTTGAAAGAAGTCTCAGCAAGGCTATACGTTTATTTGATCAAAAACACTGTAAACACAGTAATATTGTGAAATATTATTACAATTGAAAATAACTGTTTTATATTTGAATGTATTTTAAAATGTAATTTATTCCTGTGATGCAAAGCTGAATTTTCAGCGTCATTACTCCAGTCTTCAGAGTCATATGATCCTTCAGAAATCATTCTAATATGCTGATTTGCTGCTCAAGAAATATTTCTGATTATTATCATTGTTGAAAACAGTTGTGCTGCTTAATATTTTGGGGGAAACTTTATTTATTTATTTTTGCAGGATTCTTCTGATTATAGAAAGTTTAAAAAAAAAAGTATTCATTTTAAGCAGAACTCTTTTGTAATAGATATGTTTACTATGTCATTTTTGATCAATGTAATGTGTTTTGCTGAATAAAAGCGTAAAAACAACAACAACAAACTTTCTTGACCCAAAACTGGTCATAATATCAGAAAGGCCTTGTAACTAAACAAACAAGAGAACGAATAAATAAACATCCAACCAATTTAATAGACTAATTGATATAAATAATCTATAGAAAGTAGAAAGTCTGGTTCTAAGGAAACACACACACACACACACAGAAGAAAACTGAACAGTGATTTCCAGTACCTGCAGCAGCTACCTGTAGCATCACTCTCTCTTCAGCTGTCAGCTCACCTTTCCTTGCAGGGGTCAGACTCGTCATATTGACACCGGTCATTTGTTAATATTGTTAAGGATAAATGGTATATGGATGTGAAAACTGCTTCCTCAGAATACAAACCTTATAATACAGAGCTCAAAGTAAAAAGGAGAAAGCATCCTTGGTTCATACCACTTTGGACATTAAAAAGAGGGGAGGGTGGAAATCCGAGTGACACGATGTTAAAAAGCCGTAATGAATATTTTAGGATATAAACGTCTATTTTATAAAACTCTATTGTAAATACATATTATTTCTTTTTCCATTCAAGAAGATTTAATTATTAATTGCAGTAGTAATTCATGTCGTGCGAACTACCCCTCTCAAGAGTAGATCAGTCCAGCTGTACTTAACTTGCCTGCTCGAACTGTCGCGTGAGATACTGCGCGAAGCGTTGCTCGAGATTATCACAGGCAGAATCACAGACAGGTAAGTACAATCACATGATGCGCGATGTTACTATTCGCCTGATTCGTGTCTGATTCTCTCGTGCTTCTTCTGAGCAGCAAGCTTCTGAGCGTAACCTGTTGGTCTCGAAAACTGAATTACTGATTTCAGAAGCTGAATAAACGCATGTGCAAAAATGATTCATTTGTAAGCAGAGGGAGGCATTTAACTATAGATGAAGTCAGATTACTTGGTTATTTATGAAACCGTGTTGTAATGATTTTAAGCACTTTTCTGAACAGGTCGACAGCTTGTGCTTACACGAGCGCACAACAAAACTCTTTATTATTTCAGGGGATCAAATAAAAAGTATGCATGTTTTTCGTGTGTATGTATTAAATATCTGACTGTAGAATGTGCAATGCTGAATGTAAAAGATAAAAACATATTTATGTAATAAAAATATATTTTAATCTTAAAATATGAATGCCCTTGAACTATATGCGTGAAGTATAGTGCAATAAAGTGTAATATTTATAGTAATAATTATAGTTTATATAATATTTATATCCTGTCAAAGCTTCCGTCCTGTGTTGTGTCCCAGCAACTCATTCCGATTTTGAAACCAGGTTGCATTCTCTTCCAGGAATGCCATAGCCTGTGTGTTATTCTTGGCACTGAAGCACTTATAAATTGGGACCGGTGTAGTGCCGAAATTTGCACCCTGCCAGATTATGCACCCCCTAGTATTGGTAGGTTAAGGGTTAGGTGTGGGGGAGGGGTTAAGATTAGGGGTGGGGTTAGGATTAGGCAATCAGGTAGCGATTTCAAGAGGGGGTGCATCATCTGGCAGGGGTGCAGAATTCGGCACAACACCGGCGACAGTAGCACACAAACACACACAAGTGTGTGTCATGGAACATAAACCTACAGCTATATGGCAGCACAGACAAGTCTGCAAGAACATATTCTTGTGGTTGCCAAGTGCAGTGTGATGTTTGTCCTTGTTTAATTGGTTTTATGACAAGGAATGCCACTTGCACACTGTGAGAAAAGATGGGTTGAATCAGCAGTGTGGTACAGAGTGATTCTGATGGTTTGTAAGCCCCACTCACTCCTCAGGGACTGTTGTAATCTAATTAAAACCCAACTCTGACTTTTGACTCTCTGGAGCGTCTCAGCGACACTGGTACTAAGCGATCCTGTGTGGTGTTGTGCTCTGGACATCCTCCACTTGAGCTGATCTAAGAGCAGTTTACTGCATTGCCTGCTGTAATGGATTAGGGTTTGGTGACAATCAGCTAAATCATCCCCTTTGTGGGCTCATCCCTGGTGAACGTGGTTGATATCATTTTTAAATCACACGGGACTTGCACATGAGTACATATTGTTCAGAGCTGCGTGAAAGGACTCAATGTTAGAAAAACACTGAGCCATTATGAACAATGCTGTTTAAAAACAATTGTTCTGATTTCAATTAAATTTCACTGTGAGTCACAAGTTCATGCAGCTTTGAGGACACATCAAGGGTATTCTTTGTGTGGTAGGCCTATGAAATATAAAATATGCTCTGTTTAAGAGAACATTTTATATATCTATAATTATATATCTATTCTATATTATCTGTTATTGTAGAGCAGCATTGCAGAATATGGATGAGAAGACTCGCCTCCTCTGACTGCTTATTTTAGAAAAATATTTTTATATGTAAAAAAGTAATACATTTGCACAACTATTTATACAACTGGGATTTATCTTTTTTTTTTTTTTTTTTTGTAGGAGGAAAAACAAATCATTTATTTTTATTTTAAAAGATTGTTTTGCGCTTTAAGGAGATGTGTAAAAAAAATAAATGAACCATATACGGCCAAGGGAAGGTTAATACCCCAAGGTAGGGCAAGAATCAAACGGGGTGGAAAATCATCCAGCCCTGTTGCATTCTGGGTATGGTTCAGTCAGTGCCTTTGGTACATCTTTTTTGGCCTCCTCTGTTGTTTTCTTGGTGTTTTCAACCCTTTAGTTCTAGAAAAAGCTGTCGGAAGTGTCTTGGGCTTTTGCTCACCAAAGCTGCATTTATTTTTTCATTTATTTACTATGTTGATTTGGTGCTCAAGAAACATTTCTTATTATTAGTGTTGAAAACAGTTGATCTGCTTTATATTTTTGTGGAAAACCGATTTTTTTTTCAGGATTCTTTGATGAATAGAAAGAGGCTTTAGACTTTACTGTTGCTCGATTTAATGCATCCTTGCTGAATTAAAGTATTAATTACTTAAAAAAAAAAAAAAAAAGCTTACAGACCCCAAACTTTTAAATAGTAGTTTATATGGGGGGTATTAATAATAAACTAATAAGAATTTATTAGTTTATTAAATTATTTAATTTAATTTTAAGTTTTTTTTTTTTATTAGTTTAAATGTTTGAGTGTGTGTGTGAATGAGTGAGTGAGTGTGTCCCAGCACTGGGTTTTAATGTTGCTTTAATGCATCCTTGCTGAATTAAAGTATTAATTACTTAAAAAAAAAAAAAAAAAGCTTACAGACCCCAAACTTTTAAATAGTAGTTTATATGGGGGGTATTAATAATAAACTAATAAGAATTTATTAGTTTATTAAATTATTTAATTTAATTTTAAGTTTTTTTTTTTTATTAGTTTAAATGTTTGAGTGTGTGTGTGAATGAGTGAGTGAGTGTGTCCCAGCACTGGGTTTGCACGAGTTAGTGCACTTTCAGGGCTGGGTTGCGGCAGGAAGGGCATCCGGCATAAAAAAAAAACATGTGCCAAATCAGTTGTGCGGATCACTCC